TGGATGGATGGATGGATGGATGGGTGAATGGATGGATGGGATGGTGGATGGATGGATTAATTAGTCGATGGATGGATATAGATGGGTGGGTAGGTGTATGGACAGGTGCACAGATGGATGGAAAGACAAATAAATAGACATTCAGAGGGCAAAAACGATTCAAATGAGAATGAAGAAATTAAATAAGTGCTTGAATGATAACAAGAAAATAAGAATTAATGAAAATGAAGTAGACTGGAAGAGAAAATAACAGATATACAAATTTGTAGCTTGTGCAATTTCAAGAACTTTCAAAATATTACTCGTGTCTGTTAATTTCCAAATTGTACTCGAGATCGTGCAATTTTTTGTTTATAGTTCACTCAACAAAATTTCAGTAAAAAATGCAAAGCAATGCTGTTCATCTTTGGCTATTTGACAGCTGATTTTCAGTCCATCGCGCAACTGAAATGCAAAAAAAGATTAGTTCTTATTAGTTTTTACGGCTTTTTTTTGCCGCCGTTGACATTTTTTGGCCATGTTTCCATAGCAACTTAATTTGGTACTCCTACAGAGTACAATTAATGCTATAATTGTACTCCTCTCGACCAATCAGAGTCAAGTAATTTTGTTGAGTGTACTATAAGGAAATAAATGGATGAATAAATAAGATAATTGAATTAATGCAAAGCAAAAATAAGAACAAATGATTGTTCAATCAAAAAAGTGTCTCAAATAGAAATTTATTCTCTTCATGTTGCACTTCTTTTTTCTGTAGAGAACCAATCAAAAGAATCTTGACAGTGAGAGAACAAACATACAGGTATGTTTGCGAAGTCTTCTCAAAATATAGTTAGGAAACAATTTTTAAATTTCATTAAAAGTTTTGTGGATGTGAGACTAATATGATAATACAAAAGAAATCACACTTTTTCACGATGGAATTTGTGGCATTTCTTTTTTAATTTCATGTTAGCATGAAATTACATTCCAGAAACTTTTAAGAAGGGTGTGGGTGGCATGGGTGGCGAAGTGGTTTACCACTCGCCTCTCACCACTGTGGTCCAGGTTTGAGCCCTGGCTCAGACTGGATCATATGTGAGTTGAGTTTGTTTGAAGTGTTGTTCCCCCCCCTTGCCACGAGGGTTTTCTCCAGGATCTCCAGTTTCCTCCCTCCTTAAAAACCAACATGTGAGTTGAGTGTTGTATGCTGTAAATATAGAATGTAGTGGTAGTGCGTGTGGAGGGAACCTCACAGAAGAGCCCCACATGGGGAGTGGTGGTTGTAAAATATAATTTTTAAAGTTTTAAAGGGTGCATTACATTGTGATCTTCAAATATTGATGTTCCCTTTTCCTTCAGAATATCCTGACTGGTCTTTACCCAGACATCCAAATAGAATCATCACTGGTGAGTATTATCTGTCATTGGGTTGTTATACAAGTCAACAATATGGATTTGATGTATTTCTTTATTATAGTCTTTTGAGAAGTGGTTGGAAGAATTCCAGAAGAGGGCAGCCGAGGTGAAACCAGCTGTTGTAGAGGTCTGTGCAAGAATAATCATAGTGTTTATACAGGGGTGGATCCAGGCAACCCCACTGGTTTGACTTTTTGCCCCTACTTCGAAGTAACCAGTAACCATACTGGTTTTTCCTTTTCATTCTAAGGGGTGCACACCCCCCCCCCCCGAGTTAACTTTGTGCGCAGAACCCCCCTGAACAAAGTCCTGGATCCGCCCCTGCAATTAATTTATATGATGTTAGTCTGAATAAAAGTATAAGAAAGTTGGTATGAGTAGGATTGATTGTGATTGTCTCCTCCTGTAGAGGCTGCTATATACAGTCAACCTCAATCAAAATAGAATTCTACAGTCATGACAAAATAGGGTTTTGGTGGACATAAATCAAAGTATTTAGGCTATTAACTATTCAGAAAACATGAAGTCCTCAAGGTCATGTGCCTTAATTGACATCACCAAAACTTACATCATCATGACAACAATTCTACCCAGGTGTCCAGGAACACACTAACTGACCAATCACATCGCCCTTCGACACTTAGCCAAGCAGCGCTAGCTCCCATACTCTTCTTAATTCAAAAACACACRCGTTATGACAAGAATTTGGAGAGAAAATTTGAAATACATGATTAAAGCAAATCTTTGCCATAATCTCTCCATTTTTGATTCGCATCTTGAATTCTAAATGCTTTCATTACTTTTAAAACTGAGGCAAGAACTGCTAAAACTGCAACAATAATCCTTTTAGCTCTCAGATTTTTATACACCTGGACACAATGCTTTTGAGAACAACTGTAATCTGTAAGGTTGTACATCTGTATTCCTCTGCAAATGTCATTGACAGTTTATCCATTTTAACACCAGGACGTTTTTTTATTCTATTTTAGAATGGAGACATTTCAATTGAGCTAGAAGAATCCAGGAGAGAAATGGAAAATTTGAAAGCAGAATGTAGTCACTATAAAAATGGACTAGAGGATACTGTAAGTTGATTGGTGTTCTCATACCGCATGTGGTTTCATGACCTTCAGCCATTGGCTGTCTTGTCAGTAACTAATGATTTTTTAATTTAACTATTAAACAGGAATCGATGCTTAGAAAACTAGAAAGTCACATTGAAACTGAAATCGGGAGCTGGGAAAAGAAACTAGAAGTAGCGCAGCAAGAAGTAACAACAGTGAGTACTTGTTTTTGTTATCCTGGTCGGCACTGTAAATATGCTTCTTTCACACCTGCAGTTCCTTGAATAGTCCATGAATTTTAAGCTGTTACCTCAGCACAAACCCTATTAAATTATACTAAATCTATATCCTCTTATTTTGATGTTTTGTAGGCAAATGTAAGAGTATCAAGTCTAGAGAAAGATCTCACAGAAGCAAAGTCTTCATCCAAGTCTCATCTAGACAAAATCAATTCCTTAGAAAAAGAAATTTCACAGGCTAAAAAGAGAGATTCAGATGCCAAAACAAAGATCTCTTCTCTTGAAAAGGAGCTCTTGAATTCCAAAAGTCAATTAGAAAAAATTAGTCAATTAGAAAAAGAACTCACTAAATACAAAGAAAATGAATCTAAGCTAGGCGAAACCATGAAATCAGTAGAATCTGCACAAGAAGAGTTGAACAGGACAGTTCAAGAGCTGAGTGAGGTCAAAGGGCAGTTAACGACACGTGAAAGTGAGGTCAAGTCATTACGAGAAGAAATGAAAAGAAATCAAGAAGGCTGTGAAGATCTGAAGAAAAAGATTGCATCGCTAGAAGAAGCTTTGTCCAAGGCAAACGAAGTTGGACGATCTCAGGTAGAGTGGTAAATCAAAGTATATTATCATACTTGTGTCATATTTCTGTGTGCATGACATTGAGTGTGACCTCTACAAGCACTTACGAGGAAAACCATATCTACTCAGTTTCTAATGATGATGTATAATTTCTGATCAACTAAAAAAGTCTTGGACCACTTTATATGCTGCATTAGCAGTTGGCTATGATAGAGAAAGGTTATGTACTGTGAAATGGGACAACACTAAAGTGGATGGATGAAAGAAATCTTTCCATAATCATAATATGAGAAGCACAAACGAGAAAACATCAAAGTGGTACAACACTTGTCAAGTGCTTGTGGAGTTTTCACTGATGTACTGTTGACTTATGATTATTGTATTATTATTATTATTATTATTATTACAAAAGATATTTATCTGGCATGTTGCATGGACCCAGATGCTGCTTGAGCACAGACATCAACTATATCTACCATCTGATATGTTCAACACTCTCATTTACATCAAACACTGTCTTGCATGTTGTTTTGTGGTGTTTTACTTTTTTATCTCTTTTTTAAAGCTTTCTTTTTACATTTTTAAAGCTTTCTTTCTTATTGAAAACCTAAAGATTGCACCTAACCTTTAATGGGTAATAATTAATACTACTAACATGCTCTAATATTTTAGCCATTAATAATCTAATGGATTTGATCATGTGATTTGACCTCTTTATAATAACTCCCCTTAACACATGGGTGTGGCTTCCCACCACAAGAGCCCGATGAGTACCCATTAGTTTAGTTTTATTGCTCTTCTTTTATCCTGTCCTTGGAGTAAGATAGAATCTCACACATTTATGGCTTTTTAATGCCCAACAAATACATAAAAATGGAAACCACAGGCTTTATATGGAGGTCATAGTTAACATGATAATTTGTCACAAAATACCTTACTGGTATGTAAAATAACTTTAAACAATAAGGGGAAAAATACTTTTTAAGGTGAAGGGTTAGTGATATTCATAAAAATTATACTATTATAAACTTAATTAAAATTAACCCATATGGTGTTGGTATATAACTATTTCTTATTCTCAATACATAAATTATAACTATTCTATAATTCTTTGAAATTAAACTTCAATTCCGGTCTCAATGTAGCTCAATGATAAATCTCACAACTCAATCAAATGAGGTTTTCTAAAACTTTTCTCAGTTACCTGTGACGTAACCTATTCCTGATTCTCATTTCCACTGGCAACTACTAATTAACAATTAGTTCCAAATGGTATAAGTCAATAGCCTATAAGGCAGAAGGCAGCATGGGATAATGACTTGTAGACCATGAGAGCAAGAGGTCTAATTGTTTTAGTATGAACCTACTAATTGGTCTAATAAATGAATACAAACAATGTTTGATGGTTTTCAACCATTCCCAAGAGAATTAAATAACAAAAGACACGGCGGCCATGTTGGAGGATATAACAAACGAATTCATTGACAATTCTTTTGTTAAGTTCCTCCAACATGGCCGCCATGAAAACCATCAATTAGCTCCTTTTGCTACTAGTGGTGGATCAATAATAGATAACCAGTAGCTCAACAAATCAGAGCACAGGATTTGTGACAATTAGTAGGTTTATACTAGATCATGAGAGCAGTCACCTGTGATTGGCTGACGTTTTAGAGCATTGTAGAATCAGCCAATCAAGAGATCTCATGATGAAACCTGTTCAAACATTCATACTATAGCACAAAGAAATCTTTTTCCTTATCTATTTTCTTGGGGCATTTCTGAGAATTCCTGTCTCCTTCTCAAATACTTTTTTAATCTTATTCCATTCAAGAAAAGAGATCTTTTTAACTTTACAACTAGTTGTGAGTTGTTTTTAAACCTGTGCAGTTACTAATCTGGAGTATGTGTATTGACCCTAACATTCAAGTAACCAAATAACGACTGCACTCTCTAAATGCACTGTCAGTAGTGGTTGAAAGATATGTTGGCCTAAGGAATGACAGCTGTCAATCACAATAGTACAACCAGTTAACAAGCACTTTTATTTCTTTGACCTTGGAACGCTAGTCCCAGATTTACTTCTGGATAGAATTGTTTCATCTATTGCATCCTTTATTCRTCAAGATCAAAGAAGATTTTAAGATTCCAACTTCTCAATAAACAAAATTGGCCATTAATCATACATGGTTAAGATTTTCGACATCCTTAAGTTAAAGGTTGGAGTTGCACTTAACGTTGAGGACAATGTGTTCCTATTTCATTAGAATGTCTAATGGTACTTAGGCACTTGGCACAAGGGTACCCTTATCTTTTAGTTACTCACTACTAAGGGTGCTTTAAGCATAAGGAGATCAAAGTGTAATAGAACTCTTTACCTTGGATTTAATGTTTTCCCATTAGAAGACCATTCTCTTGAGAACAAAATTCTTTCTGTGATTTGTATCTATATTCATGTGTCTTCTGGTGCGTAACCGTTAAACAAAGAAATGATACTCTCGAGAATGACACCTGGTCTGGAATGGGAAAAACTATTCCCAAGGTAAAGAGATCTACTGGTTGTTTTTATTGTGGTTTATGTCAAGCATGCTGCACAAGATAAATGTTACATTACATGATTAAAAGAGTGCATATAAACACCATTAATGACACCTTTGAATCATAAACAAACCTAGGAATCACTAAACAGCGAAAACAACTTATCCAGTAGCCCTGACAAGAAAAAGAAAGGCATCAAAGGGGCTTTTAGCAAACTTGCCGGTGGTTCAAAGGTTGGTAAGACGACACACATACTTTCTGCTCTATTGCTGGGATCTGGGATCTGAGTTTATAAATGAGTTTAAACTATCTCTATTCTCTCGTACTTAACAATAGTTTTTCATATTACCACTTGTGTACTAATTTATCAATTAAAATTAAATCTAGCATTACATACATAATTATATAGGGTTCATATTGAATGAGAACTTTGTGTTTCTGACATCTGAGTTTTTATTTTTATTTTTGCAAGCTTGGATGAATAATTTTTTTTAACATACCTAGATGGATCACAAAGTTCTTGTTCAAAAATTTAATACTTCTACAATAATAAAACCTAAATAATTGTACAAACTGGTCATGATTTGACAAAGACAGTCTTATGTAATATTATTGAACATAGATGGTTCAATTGATCTCTCCAAATAAAGTTTACATTTTTTCCCCTTGTACAAAAAGTTTGATAAAAGTTAAAAACCAAAAACATTTTAAAACCATTGCTAATCAAAATTATAAATACCAAATTGCTATAATTACATTATTTTAATGAGACTTTTAAAACATAAAATACACAAGCTTCATGGAAAGCTGTTGAATTATAAGCTTGTGATATGCGATTCTGATTTTATATGGCCTTTAGTACTGTTAAATATTAAATAATCAGGAATATTATAAAACAGTTAGAGGAGCACATAGCAATAATAACAATAAATAGAGGATATTACATGGGCGCACGGAGATACRGATTTTATCTTCGAGTGTTGAAAAGATCTCTCACAAGTGAGCGCAGCGAACGAGTGAGAGATTTTCAACACGAGAAGATAAAATTTGTATCTCCAAGCGGCTATGAAATATTCTGTTTATTATATAATTATCAATGAAGCATGTTTTGGCTTTTTCAGGCAATTCTATCCGTGTATTTTTGAATAGCCATCACAATGGTGTTATCTTCACACGTGAAAATAACATGTTATTTTCACATGTGAAGATATCAATTTTTCGAAATAGAAAAAAATAGATATTTCATTGGTAATTATATAATAGTAGGTCATATTTTTCAAGCAATGTTTTATGTTACTCATCAAGTATATATATATATATTAAATTATTTATTGATTATATTCAAGGTCCAGACAATTTAAATAACCCAGCCCAGTAAAAACGTTATAGTATTTGGCTGATGTTAATATTAATTTGTTTGCAGTAACTTGCTAAAACTGAATTCATTATTTTCAATGAATTGTTTTGTTTTGTTTTAGTTTTTGTCAGACTCATTTGTGTCCTTACCATAAAATCTCAATTTTTTTTCTATTATCATATATTTGTTGTTGTTTTTTTACTCACTGTTATTGCCATTATCATTGTCATTTATGATCACCTATCTTGTCATTCTCATATTTCATCATTACTCATCGATTGGGGCAGTTGTTCAGATTGTTACTGAGTGAATTAAAAAATGAAGAATTGAAAAATGGGTATTGACAAACATCGACCCTCACTTCCCCTGGGTCCACCTCTAACAGCAAAGAATTTTGGGAAAGTAAACCTCTGTACCGTGGGCGTAAAGTTTTTTCATTTCATACCAAGTTTCATTCCCTTGAGAATGATATTCTTTGTTTGAGTTGTATCCATGTTCATGTGTCTTCTAATTACGCCCAAGCTAACAGGGTGTATTCTAACATTGGATTTCCTTGTACTAACGCTACAGTCAATCCATTTGCATGATGGAAATGAAATACTAAGTCGTTTATTTACCTATTATTGTCCACTATAGAAAGATAAGGATAAGGAGAGCAAGAATGTCGAGAAGGAAGAGGTACTGTATAATAGACAATAATACTCCAGTTTATATTCTCTTCTGTTGCTCAGGGTTAGCCTACACTTTATGTAGAATATTCATGTGTTCCAGTGAAGATCTGTGGATTATTTCAACATGTTTGTATGGTTCAGATTGTCAGTGGCAGTGGAACAAAATGAAAAGTAAATGAGGGTGGGGTACTAAATTGATATTTTTTTTGTTGTCTTTCACTTGTTGTTAAGAGCTGCTGTCATAAAAAAATCCCTTCAAAACTTTGGTACTTTACTGTTGGTATTAAAATGAGGCTTACCCTGAGTAAATAAGTTCTGTAATCAAGGAAAAGCTGCAGTATTTTACAAAGGATATCAGTTTTTAAGGTTTTAGTGATTCTTCATTTCACTAACAGTTATTCTATTCCCTCGTTCCAACTAGACTCAAAAGCAACTAGCAGCATACAAGGCTGAAATAGAGGTAAACCATTACAACATGTAGTATAGAGTGTTTTCACATGACGTCACAGCGGCCATTATGGGGTACCAAAACAATACATTTTCTATCCTCCGAGAATTGAACTCTATTTTTATGCAAATACTGTGCAGAAAGTTTCTATTGTTTATGGTTACCTTCTCACGTGAGTGAAAACGCTCTATAATCCTTTGCGCAAGCACAGGCAGCCCAATAAGGACAGAGCAGTCAAAGGAGGGGCCAGCGTCTAGACTAGGGGGTGGCCTGACTAGATATGACATATTTAATGGAGGCATGGTTATCATATTAATGTTTATTTTTTGAGTGGTATTTTCATAACAGGCATGTTTAAGGGCAGACAAGAAGCACAACCCCGTCCACCCTCCACCAAATCAGGTTATTGCACTGACAGTGAGACTGGGCAGTCTGTGGTCTAAATAGATTTTTATTCTATTACCCTAAACATCTCTGCCACAAAAACAATCTATTAGAGTGAAGACATTTAACCCGTGAAATAAAAAATACTAGTCAACGTGTGATAGTCAAATAGACACAAAAGAAAACAATGGAGTTAGGGTCTACTAATGTGTATTAGTCTAATATTTATTTCACAGGTTTAATGACTCCACTCTAAGAGATCTTTGAGAACTGTGCTGTATTAGTGAATGGAGAATTATTTAAAATCATACTAGATCAAAACTCATTAAATGTTCATAATCGTTTTATAGGAATTAAAAGCACAAGTTAAAAAGATGAAAGATACAGTGAGTATTGTTAAGTCAGAGTTTTACTCATCGTTACAAATAGTCTTTCTATCAGAAGGGATGTAGTGACTAAGTCTTATCTCCCTATCACTTTCATTGTCTATTATTTTGTAAATAAAAGAATGAATGAAATGAGGGAGGGAGGGAGGATGGGATCAATGAATGAATAAACGAATGGATGAATGAATGAATGAATAAACGAATGGATGAATGAATGAATGAATGAATGAGAAAAATTGTTGAATTTTTTTACCAGCTGAATGAATCTCATCAATTTCATTACCAGCTTACGATGACAGGCAAACACTGGCTGTCGTGTGCTTTCAGCAATTTACATTTCCATAGAAAACTTGCCATTCAGCTGATAAAACTTCCACATGAGACTGGAAATAATGCCTATTGATAGAGCGCTTTCCATTAAGTCAAACTAACCAATCCAAGCAGCCAATTCTCAAATGGTACTCATCGCTTCTCATTAGTTTTGAGACCTTAGCTAAACAGTTCAAAAGAACTGACGCATATCATTTGACAACTGGCCGCTCAGACTGGTAGGTTAGACCTAATGGAAAGAATACATAGTGACCTATTGAAAACTTGCAATTAAGGTTATTTAGCATTGCAGACGAAACAGGAAATGACGTTGAGTGAAATCGAGCAATTGTTTGAAGTATCCAAAGTGATGAAAGAAATGATTCAAGGAATGATATGTCTGGAAGTATTTTGACCAAGTTGTAAAAAACCACTTTATCATATGACCCGTACGGCCCTGCTCGCGCGCTCTAATAAAACCATTGGAAAAAGTCACGTGATGGGGGCCGGACGGGTTGACGTAAGCGGGCCGGAAAAATCCGTCCGGCCCTGCTCAAATCCGCGCGCTTTCTTTTTCTTAATTATTTTTATTTTCGAGAGGCTCATATGATAAAATGCTTATTGACTGAGTTAGGTCGGGCCGTACGGGRAAATATTTGGCTCTCGGTCATTTGTACGGACCTCGCTGCGCTCAGTCCGTACGGCATCACCTCRAGCCAAATATTTTCCCGTACGGCCCTCCCACTCAGTCAATAAGTACATAGTATTTGTTTTAAATAACAGGCGATGACAAGGTCTCAGCAGATTGAAAAAGATGTTGCTGAAGCCATCGCAGACGTAAGTACAGATCATTCCTGAGAATTATAACCTTAGAATAAAGATTATTCAGTTACCAGTATGGTCTTTAACATATTAGTAACCTCATTACAATTCTTAACCCCATGAATGGGAAAATTTTCTAATAATGTACAAGTTTTGAAATTTATAGATATGAAACATCTTGTGACTTATCGATAATTATAAATTATTTCATATTATATTCTTAAAAATCATATAAATCTCAACCTGGAATTTTTGGAGGGCATTTTACAAAGGTTTTTAATCTTTAAAAAAGTTGGTTATAAAATATGAAAATAATGTCTGTTGAGAGATGTTGGCACTTGAAAGTTACATCTAAAGCATTAATTACTAAAAAAATTCAATGTATAGTTAGAACAAAAGTTAAACTTCGCAATATATTGAGTTAAACCAGAATTGAAACTTGGTGAAGTGCTGACTGATGACTGGCCGACAGTTGGTCAAGTGTCAATTGACATGTGTCCACTAGTCATGAAGTACATAATCACGCTAGCACTTTGTATTAAACATCACCACCCAAGCTATTTCTATGCTCATTCATAAATGGCTTTGCTCTTATTTATCTTTATTTTTTTGTCATCCATCAATCCATCCATCTGTCCATCCATCCATCCATCCATCCATCCACCCACCCATCCACCCATAGATTCATCTTCACTCCTTTTTGTAACATTTTTTCAAAGTTGACCTTTTGCTAAAATAAGTTAAATTTTTGACTCCTTTTACTGCAGTTAACAAGATAATTAAGAGTTTTCATAAAAGTAGGAATTTCAGGTGTAAAGCTTTTTTTGTCTTGGAATATTAAGAAAAAGTAAGCAAAAATGTTACGAAAAGGAACATGCCTCTGGTTTCTGTTAGGAAAATGCCCTAAAATTCGAAAATATGCAGAAGCATGGGGATAGATCAAGAATATAGCAATGCACCATGGCCCTCTTGTTACCAGATAAGTTTTGAAAACAGTTTAAATTTGAAACTTTTGAATCAAGTGTAGGTATATGAAATTCATATCGCACTAGGRTTTCAGAAAATTTCAAAACATGCAAAAAGCGAGTGGAGTTACAAATACTGGTATAACTTTGTATTGCTTTCAGCTATTGCGTTTCTTTCGACGGAGCATTTACATTAAGAGTTGAACTAAGTATTGTGTGAACTTGAAGAAATTTTGAAAAGATGTTAAAAAGTTACAGCGATTTTTGGGATAAATTGTCTGTTTTGATAAGATCATAAAAATCAGGGTTTTTGGACGAATCTATCGCATCCGTGCAAACTGAAATTCTGGCTTCGATATATCAGGGCTAGTTAAAAACTATGGTGCTTTAGATTGCAGCATTATATGTTAATAACATATGACAGTATGACAAAAANATTTATTTATTCATTTATTTATTTATTTATTGAAGCTTTAAATATTATTTCATATTGCATTATTGCTGAATTCCTACATGCTTTGTGTTAACAGACTGCAAATAGCCCTGTCAAGTCCAACTCTGCTATTAAACATTAACACACAACATAAACCACTACAGTAAGTACATTCATACCATACACAGGTCTATCTACCATTACCTCAGACAGACAGACCATTATTTGACTGGCCTGTCAATCATTTCTATGTTATTATGCACTATACTTTTCTCTTTAAGAATTTTTACATTTTATTTATTTTATTCTATATTCTATTTTTGGTCCAGCAAAATTATAATATTAAAATGAGCCTTACTATTTTGCTCTAAAGTCTGGTAATAACCTTCTCTCTCCCCTACCCCATATTTTCCCTTATTTTATACCTGTGGAATGGAGAGAGAGGGGGGTTGGAATTAGTGAAGAGTAGGGGAGAGAATGATAACATCTATAGATTAGGAACTGTTTAAAAATCAATGTAAATTGATGCCTGTCTTGCAGATTTTAACCTCTAAAAATTACTTTAATTTATGAAACAGTGTCAACCATTTTTAAACCCTAATATCAAGTTTCTAGGTTTATTTTTAATACTCTAAAAGATACCAAATCACTAATTTCAATCCATAAAAGACCCATGATCTGTTTAAAATTAAGTCGCCTCCCAACCCCAACCCACCCCCCTCCCTACCCCCAACCATCCCTGATGAAATATTTTCTATTCAAAAAACAGTGGTAGTTGGATTGCACAGACCCTCCCTTTCTGAGTTTAGAACAAAAAGAATACCTWTGTTTGAGGGTCCATCCAAACAATGGGTAGTTTTCCCAGTGGAATACAGAATGTCTGACCAACAAACACTCATTCATAAGGTTTTTCAGTAGTTATTGATTTTTTTCTTCATATACCTTAAGAATGCATTGATTCTAAGACACACATTTACAATGTTCATCAATTGGTGTCTATTCCATACTGTATATCAAAACACATTTTACCTTGTCCGACAAAGCAAAAGTAACTAGGGAGGTAGAACAATGAATGTGGGATCAATGTATTGAGATAAGATAGCATTCAAAAAACGTTTTTAAAATCTCAATTGGGCTCCCTGTGGCTTTAAGAAGAAAGATGATATACCATAATATATGCATTATTTTTTCTCGCTGCCATGTAATTTAACCCAATGCCCTTTCACTCATCTTGCAGTGAAAATAAAATTGATACTAAAATGTCATGTTTGTCATTTATATTCCAGCCAGCTGCAAAAGACGCAGCAGAAAACATAGTGTCGTCCGTCTAAAGCAAAGAAATGTTGGAATGTTTAATGTTATTTTAAATTCACACAATGATAAAAATATTATATAAGGTACACAGATATGAATAGATTAAAATGATGATATATTAAGGTGTGACGGGGGAAGAATACAGATCAATACCAGATATAGACAGATGCCAGCACAATCAGTTAGTATACACACATGTTCTTTATACAAGGGAGTGGCTCGTGTACCTGCTTCAAAAAGGTTGCTTTGATAACACTGAGGAAAATGCTTGTTCGTATACCTCGTAATGGAGGGCTAGTAGTGGTGCACCACTGGGGAGGGGTGAGCAATAGGTTGTCTACCTACACCAGAGGGGTGAGCAGTGGATGTTTCAACACTGAGGAGGGGTGAGTGAGTATTAGAATGTCTGCCTACACTGAGGGGCGAGCAGTGGATGTTTCACCATAGGGGGAGGGGTTGTGCAGTTTTTCTTGTGAGAAGAAGTGTGCTAGTAATTTTGTCAGAGCCTAAGGGTTCTCGAGATAAATTATAATTTTTAATCTAACTTTACTTTTATGGAGACAACCTTTTTGAAACAAAAACATGCAAACACATGCAACTTTTTGACCACGCCCTACCCCAGCTCTTATTCAAGACTGAATAATCCAGGGGTTGAAAAAGAATTTATATTGCTCTTCAGTTAGTCGTAATTTAGTTCATGTTATTTAATATTAACGCATAGAACGTCACCGGTCTTTACTAGTAATACTTGATTCGAGTTTTTTAACTCGTAAAAATACAGTTTGTTTTTCAAATCCAAAAATTTTATCTAAGTTTGAAGTTTTATTTCAAACAAATCTCTTATATACCACGTTAAACTGCATGAAATTCACCCAGTAGTACTATATCTGTTGTATGGTTCTACTTTCTAGTTGTCTAAATAAAAATGTGATACCAACGGTTTTTGTAATCTCTGCGTCTTATGCGAGTAGAGTTGCTTGTTGTTCTCTCCTACGCTTGAGGATTTTTCTCCGGCTTGTCCTCCCTCCGTAAAAATCAACTTCTAAATTCCAATTGGAATCCAGGGGAAGAAGAGCCACTCTGTGCAATCGACTGTTGATTCTCATTTGTTAATTCCCATTCCCTGTTTACTCCCATTTGTTTATTCCCATTTCATCACGACTCTCTAGAAGAGCATATCGTATGATGAGACTGTGTTGAAATGACGGTTATATTTGTTTTATTTTATCCGCTTTCTCGTTAGAAATTCTTTACATCATGCTTATCATTTGTTATTCAAATCTTTGTTTTACCTTTCGATTAAAGCTGCCTTTTCAATTTTTTWAAAAATCTAAATTGGATGATGAAAATATAGTATCTTTTTGCGTTTGTAGTATCCACCGTACATAGCTAGAAAGAAGACCAGTTGCAACGCCAGTTACATGCGATTCACAGCCATCTGTTGAAAAGATTTTAAAACCCCGCTTAATAAGTAATAACTTAAACCTTTGATAAATTTTTTCTAGTTTTTTTTTTTCGTTTAAATTTCACGGGAAGTACAGATGGTGCGCATTGCTAATCCGCCGCCTCACAATACTAGTAAGTGGATACAATACTTTCAGTATTGATTCTACATGAAGTGAATGGTGAAATATTTCTTCATTTGAATGTCGCGTCTTTAAGTTATAAAGGTTTATRCTTCCAATATGTGAATGACTGTAACGTCATTCCAGGCTTCATGAATTATACTGGTTCACACAAACAGTTAAAAAAAGCATCATTATACTCGAGGTTTCCACAACGTGTGTTATATAAATTAAAGACGCGACATTCAAATGAAGAAATATTTGACCATTAAACATTTAACTTTATGTAGAATCAATACTGAAAGTATTGTATCAGGGGCTGGGTGCACTTTAATGCTCATTTGCCGCTTGCGTCGCTATTAAAAACCAAGATGTAGAATCTTAAAAAAATTATATTGCGCGCTCGGAACGCACCAGTTTATGCGGACAAGACTTTATTGTGCTTGAAAAATTCATAAATTGTCTACACAAACCTGCTAGTTTTTTCGCTGTCCTTTTTCGCATTCTGTTCGTTTTGCTTTCATGAAATAATTTCCCAAAGCAACCATTTGGTCTTTGTAGCTTTACTAGTTTAGCAAGTCTCTCCATGGATAGAAAGTCACTGTAGCCTAAAAGGCCTCCACAGATCACAGCCTGTTCTAAGTATAGATCTGTCTGGGCGGGCGTTTTTGTCTTGACATTCTCGAGGATCAGCATTTGATTGTACATGGAGGTACAGATTTCTTTAAATAGTCCTTCGTATCCCCCTTGGATGTTTGATTGCTTTAGTTTAGCGGAGAGTACTGATGAGCAACCTGATAAAAAGATAGCATACAATCCTGTTATAGTCAACCCCTTCCGACCACACCCACTCGAGACTGTGAATTGGCGCCTGTAATAGTGGTGTGTGATACCATATATCCATGAAAATGTTAATTAACAAAATCGTAGAAATTAGTGCCACCGAGTTTCACATAGGTCTATGGTCTACTGCATGAGCTTACTAATTGGTGCAGATTTGTGCAATTTCTTAGGAAGTTTTTCACGAATATGTTTTTGGTATGGCTGCTAGCATGGGCTATCTAAAATTGAGTAAGATGGTGTAGAGAGAAGTGGAATGAGTTTGTCGCGTGTGGGGTGGTGTTAGAGGTAGGGGATCGTTAAAGCTGTGGTTGGTTAAGATGCTGTGGCGTAAAAAAAAGAAAAGTGGGATTTATGTAGGGTGGGGTGGTGGTATAAAATGGGTGGGGCCGCATCAATCGGCGCTTTAGTGGAGGGGGAATGGGGAGTTACTTGGGGTGGGAGGATGGATGTTAATTGGGGTAGGGTAGGGAAGGGTGTTACTGGGGTGTGTGTGGGAGGGGGGGGGGGGGGGGGGGGGGGGGGGGTTGGTAGAAGAAGTCTAATGGGGCAGCTCCTCTACAAATTATGTTCAAACAACTGATACGAAATGCACTTCATACTTTACCTCTTTCCTTTCCAAACATAAAATACAAGGCCTGATGTGTCAGCGTGTATCCTACATTATCCTTTCTCGTCATAACCTGCCAACACCGATCGGTCACATTACAAGGTTCATACCCAGGTCCTCCGCTGCCAAACAGCGCCACCATACATGGTTGATAGGGTCGACCAATATTCGTCGTCACTTCTCTATCAATCTCGCGCGTATTTCCCTTGGGATTCAATCTCTTAAACGGCTTCACAAATCTCCACTTATTTTTCACCACAAAACCTACTTTCTTAAAGTAATCTTCGTCTGATATTCTGAGGCTTGTGAGGGATTTTAAGATGATTGTTGTAGCCCGGTTTCTTAGGTTAGTTATGAAAAAGGATACAGAGAGTGGGATGGAGTTTCGTGCGGAGAGATCTTTTTTCATTGACGTAAGGACGTTTTCTAACACAGCTGTTTTAAAGGAAAAAGACGAGAAACTCATTAATCAATCAAAAAGCTTGAATACTCAAGAAAAAAATGTGTTTTTATACCGTGTAATATGATGTAGATATCGGAAGCACTTACAACATTTGGGTTAGTTATTGTGACATTGAATTAACTTCATCGCGAGTTAGGCGGCTAGTTCTTAAATGATCTTTCTGTGGCTTACCGAATTAAGTGCGCCGAAGACAGAGCCCTTCTTCTATAAATAACTTAACTGTAAAACTTTTTACATAATAATATATTTCTTACATTTTTTGATTATTTTTTATTTCTGTTCCAATTCTCATTTCATTATTTATTTTGCCTCTTTTTAGTTTCTGCAATTTTTTCAATTCTCATTTTAAATCATGCCATTTATACTATTCCATTTTCTCATTTGTCCAGCATTTTGTTTTTATATTCTTATTTTAACAAATTGTCAGTCGGTGAAATAAAAATCCTTGGCTTATAAAAAAACAAGTGAAAGGAAAAAAAATGGAATCAGAACAAATCATTATTCAAAACTAAAAATTTAAGTTTTTGCCTCGAATTATGCACTCACCTTCTGATAACCGTAGACCAAAGATAGCATCCAAGTTGACTTGTTCATATTCTTTCTCAAAATACTTAAAGGCTTTATCTAAAGAATTGAAGAACTTTGGTATAAGATCTGCATTTGCTTCTTCATCGTACGAGTCTAAGGTGACCCGCTTCGAAGCGTCACCCATGGCGAAAATAGCCACGAGAAAAACCACGTTTGTCGATACCATTCCGGCGTTTCCCCTGCAAAAGCTTCCAGATAACTCTAGAATCTAAACTCTAACCTCCTTCTTTGGGATATTTACTTTAAGAGAAATGAAACTAAAAGTGCAAAAACTACACGAACTATATATAGGGCTTTGGGGTTTGAGTTGAACATGCCCTGGTCGATTAGTTGACCACGAAAGGGTGCCTCTAATCACGATAAACAAGGGCAAATACACTCTAAGAGTTTGACTGAATATATGTTGTTTTAGCACGATACCAATTTAGGGTTTATAAACCTTTATATAGAGCTAACTAATGGAAAGGGCTTAAGGAGAACCTATGTTTGACGACATAATTTACGAGTGTGTGATTGGCTCAGCAGGGAGAGGGTTAATTTGAGATATTATTAGGCTGGTGAAAAACATCAGACTCCACATTTTAGAAAAATAATAAATAGAGCAATAGAAATTATAACTCTGAATTAAAAATAGAAAATTGACTAGTCAAAATTGCCCTAATGTTTGGATGCTAATTTCAAGTTTAAAATAGGCAAGTGACATTCCCTTGAGTATTATTTCTTTCTCCTGTTGTGTCAGACATAATTTAGGATTTTCCAATAAACATTAGTAAAGTATAAAGTATTCTCAGGTAATTCTGGCATAAAATAGAAGTGACCTTTGTATAGTGTCATTATTTTGTATATTATTTCTTTCTTTTTCCAAAAAATGTTTTACAGATTGTAAAGCCTTGATTCGGTCGCTTCAAAATGGTAAAAGTCAAGGTTTTTTTTTAAATCTCTGCCTATTTAGTTGACCTTGAAGTATTCTAACTAAATAAGAGTACTGGATAAAAAAATATAACAAAGAATTTTTGTATATACAGCAATTTTACCGAGGTTTAAATATTTGGAACGCCTGTTTTTTCTCTACACAGGACAAACTCGCTATAGGTTTCCTGAACACACTCGGATACGTTCTTTTAAATGCCAAAATATCCCAGTTATTAGTTGTTTGTTAAAATGCATGCATTACAGTCAAGCCACCTCAAGCTTGAACACGTCACAGAGGTTATTAACGACTTTCTCATTGGATTCTTGATTTCATTATTCGATTTAAACATTCATTATTGAAAATGAAGTCTTCAATATTAAAAAAACATAATAGTGTGAAATTTCGATTAACTTGGATCGTGGGCTATTAATTGTTTATAGCGGAAACAGAAGGTAAGTCATTAATATTACATATTCCTTGCAAAAAAAGAAGTCCTTGCATTGGTAGGCCTTTGGCGGTGAAGATTCAAGGCCACCTTACGCAAATTAGCCAATCACGATCGAGTATTTAAACAATAGAATCTGTACAAATTTTCATCTTTTTTCCTTTGAAAACATATATTTTACTTTATACGAATTTGTGTATGATCAGGAGTAAACAAAAAGAAAAAAACGGTTCAAAATCCATGTTTCATCAATTCATCTGTTATTCGACATGAAAACTGTGATATGTAAATTTGAATTAAAATTTATTTGGCTGGCCTTGGTTGGTTAATGTAGTCGCAGTGTAATTAAACCAGCTTCCCTTTAATTTGCTCATCGCCCAAAAAAATAAAAGCGTTTTAAGGCGCGCGCTTCGGGCTACCTTGTTACCTTCGAGCACATGGCTCTCAATGAAAGACTTCCGAGATCTAAGCACCCGAGAGGTTTTTTTCCTTTTAAGTTAGAAACCAAGGCAGAATACTATTTGGATCTATTTTCGATGCGAAATAAATCCGTATTAACAGAACTTTATAGCTTTTATTTAAAGCGCATTTTGTAGGAAGGATTACGAGGCGGAAAATTTAAGGAACATGTGCTACTGAAAATGGCAGAGTGAAATCCGAAATCGAGGAAACCGAGGAAACCAAGGAAAACGAATATGAAAGATCATGTTTTCAATAATATATATAAAACCGTTCTTTTTAGGTAATTGATAACACCTTAGACATATTTTACGTCCCATTTTACGTCCATTAGGCTTTATCTGATAAACCGTGACTCGAGTTCGAGTRCTGGACTTACAGATAGCTTTGCAAACTTGCAATAAGGAAGCCTATGCTTTCGGAGCTGGTGGAAATGACATTTTTCTCTTTTGTAGTCACTTTGAGAAAAAGGTGAGAAATAAACCGAAATTTTTGCTAAAGAAAATAGAACTTTCGCCACGCCATGGAAGCCCGACGACAACGAAGCCCAAAATTAAGATTGTTTTTCAGCTAGCGACAAATGATATTAGATAAAAACTAATAGGCAGTAAATGGGACGTAAAAATCTGTCTAAGGTTTTGACAATCGGTCTCTCACATATATTATTTAAATACAGACTCAATATTACGCATTGGTTCGAAAATATTCCGCCGAAAAATGTGTTTGAACCTATATCGAGTTAATCCATCAGTAAAACGGAACGATTCCAAACTTTTAGGCCTCTTAGTGCGAACTTATTCTTAAAAACACGTATCTTGAGTAGAGGAGGTTTCCCGATCCATCCGATATGTCATTCAAAACACATGCACCATTTCCTYATTTTCTTTACTTAAAAATATGCCGGCCACTTGAAGTGCAGATGCCTTGTTGCCGGATCGCTTGGTTATAAAACGACTCGTACATAAGAGGGTTAGGTTTTAAATGACTAGGCTTAACACGTATTCAAACGCAAAAGCTCTATTTTGAAGAAAAACTCTTTCTGTATGAGACCCAGTCGCGCTATATCTRTAAGTGCGCCCCGAAACATCCAAACATCAATAACCATCTATTTTGCTCCCTACATGCGTGGGTATACATGATTCATAGTTACCTTCACCCATGACTATTTTATCAACTTCCCATGCGTAATTAGGGAAGCTTGATAGTTAGTTTTAAATACATTACTTTTAACTTTTATTGTTAATACCTTGACGAAGTCTGCAGAAATTAGACGAAACGCGTGGAAGAAATAAAGATTTTTACAACATCTGTCATATCGTAGCTAGCTAATCTCTGGTCTTAATTATCAAAAATAATAATAATAATAATAATAATTTTTTCTTTAAAAATTGAACAACTCTGTTTCGTATTATGAGAATTCTTTACTGTTTCCCCCCTTGGCTTTAGTTCAAGTCGTGAGAAAAAATGTTTAAAAAGTGTTTATAAATGAAATCATGACCTAGAGAGTTCTCAAWTAAGACTTTTTAAAAGATTTYGGCTTCGACTTTTTTATGTTCATCATTTTGTATGAGTGACAAACCTACCACGATGACTCTCAAATGGTTTCCACTMTGAACCAATCAGGAACCACCAACACCAACATCATCCAATCACAACACTTAGACTAGGGAAGCCATTTGAGAGTCACTGCACTTTACTTTTTACTAGCATTCACTTATAATTTGATATTTTAAGCATATTTTTCGCAGTATCAAGTGACTAATTGGCAATAAATTAAAATAAAAGGAACAATATGTATAAGAAAATATATTTATTAGGAAACCATTTTTTCTATTTATATCAAATTCTTCTTTGATCGCGAATCACAAAATTAAGATTAATGTTTTTGTAAATCGTAATTTACATTGATATTTWAATGGATTAAATAACATGACTGGTTTTTCTACGTTGTAACACGACCCATGCTTTGTTCAGTAACCTTTTTCTGGTTAAAGTTCCATATACGACCAACAGTACAAYGACTAGTACTATCRAAAWCCCAGCAGAGGTTGTCATGGAAAYGCCATGGGTGCCATGGTTACCAWYTTGTTTAGCATTGGCAATCTTTAAMACAGGTTCATTCTCTTTCTGCATCATCTTTCGCAGGTAAACACTGTGACCAGCAGATTTCTGGTTATGATACGACTGGTCTTCTTTGGCTGTACTTTTATCTTTAGTGTGGTTGCACAAGGGTCCTGGGAATTTCAGATGTGCAGCCCATCTCAGATAGACCCCCAAGGTACCTGTAGCAACACCAGTAAGATGGGACATGCACCCACCTGTCAAACAAATACARAACAATGGTCATTAATTGAGTATTAATGAATCCAGTACATCCATGTACATTTTTGACATTGCATTACCAGTAACTTCACCATTGTCGCAATCATTATGCTACTCACCATCGAGAGCTTTCTCCACCAGAAGTGACCTCATTGTTCTCATGCTCATCAATTTCCTGGAAAAAATAAACCAATTATATCATACCAATCGATAGACAMAAATCTAACCCTTTTCATTTCCATCACCCGCCCCCCACTTTCTTCGGCATCACTTTCCCTAACCATAATCCTTTGCACTACCCACAAGCTGTTCCTCACCTTCCAGTGCCACCCAATCTGACATCATCTCCTTGACTTCTGTCAAGCATTTTTTCCTTCTYCAATCCATTTTTTCCATATGCATTTTTATTAATCATATTTTGTCCAAGATGAGGATGTTCTACATCATCCCTACTGCTTTCTCCAAAGTACCGAGCATCTTTCTTGTCATCCAGGTCACCATAGCAACCACTCTTTCTTTGCCATCCCAGAATTCTTTTCAGTCTGTCTGGAGATAAGAACTCGTCGTATCCCATGCTACCACAAACCATCCCTTGCTCCATGTACAAATCTCTTTCATAGTTTGAAGAGGATTTTTTCTTTTCATATTCCAGCATCTGTGGGTACATGCTAGCACAGATACGGTCATAAACACCTTGTAAACTGATTCCGTTGTTTAACTCTTTTAGCTTTTTTAACAGATTTTTCTTGCAACCTAAAACCAAGAAATGATGATTAATTTTCTAGTAATCTTCTARAAAAAAGGTGCTACACTTCTTACAAAAGACAGAAAGTAAGTAGTAAATTTGTCCCTCCTGCAAGAATCTATAGCTCCTCAGGGATCAGCGTATAGAAGTTTGGTGGGGGAGGGGACRGCAGCTAGTCTGGGAGGTCCAGAGGAATGCCCTCACCCCTTGAGAATTTTAAAATTGAGGCTCTTGGAARTGCAATTTCCAGTGCTGAGATTTTAAAGCACAACAGCGACATATTTTATTGCATTAAAGTCATGTCAAAGCTTAAGACAACCCATACGAGAAAATCATTTTAGCTAAAAATGTGTGGAGGTTAAGCCTTCCAGAGCCCCCTCTGCTTCTAGGGTGCCTCCCAACCCCCCTGCCTCTRGGATGCCTGCCTCTAAATACRTTTCCCTACCATGTAATTCCCCGATCAGAAGAAACAATGCTTGGTGTGTCAGAGCATAACCTCCAGCTCCTTTCGACGTCATGAGGTTCCAACAATGAGCTGAYAATTCACAAGGTTTGCTTGAAGTATCTCCTGTCCCAGTCATTTCTGTCATACACTGGTCACTTGTGTCTTCATCAAAGCTTATTTCACTTCTCTTGTCAATAGGAATGTACAAAGAATGATCAAGTTTTCGAAAGGATTTGAAATTCTTCCATGGTCCTGATATTGCAACTTCAAACTTCTTGAAGTAACTTGGGTAGTTCTTTTGAAGTACAGGAAGAGATTTCTTGGCAATTAATGATGCTTCTCTCTGGAGAGAAGATATTCTTGACACTGTTTCTTTGTCTAGTTTTAGTGTCCCTGATTTTTGCTCATCTAAGATTTTTATTAGAGCTCCTAAAATGAAAAAGAAAGAAATAGGAGATATCAGTTACACTCTACTTAAACAATTMTCTCAAGTCGAGACATTTGGGTCAATACAATAAAATGCATTAAAACTAACAACCCAAATACAACAAGTTTGAATGCAATATAGCTAGAGCAAGAMTCTAATATCTAGTGTTAGTAAAAATACACAGGTGATTATTGAAAATCTCATGCGCTGATTGGTCAAGAAACTCGAACTATCACACAATAATCACCTCCAGCGATAATCCAACATGGCGGCCAGCCGCTTTGTTGCTGTTACTGGGGGGGGATGTCTTTTATCTCCTTTTTTTTCTTTCTTTTTGAAAGAATCACCTGTGTATTTATACTAAAACAATTATTTGCCTCAGCCTCAATGAATATCAGAGAATATTTACCTTGCCGCTCAAAGGCTCGCGTCTTGGTAAATATTCCCTGATATTCACTTTGCCTTCGGCGAATAATTGTTAATATTAGTTAATTATTAGTGAATAGCAAAAATTTTCTTTTGTTTTTGGTATACCCTGGTGATAGCTATTGTATCCTTAAGAATAGTCATTACTGTGATATGTCTCAGGCTAGTGTCAGTGGTGACTCCTTTTCCTATTCACAGTGTAAATGTTATGTATATTTGGGGAAGGGGATGGTAGGATGATGTGTCAAGATATTGGGGAGCAACCTCTAACAGTAACACAGTAGCTAATGCATCTGTCATTACAAAGGGAACTGTTGTAATTTTGGCAATAAATTTTACGCAATGGAAAAAGGAATCAAGTATATTTGTTGAAGCAAAGAACATAAGAGCAAACATGTAAACTGAGTGTGGGTGTGTYATACAATTGTGTGCAGCTGCAAAAAGTGTGACAAGTACTTGCTGGCTGTGTTGATCTTAGCCTTAACTTTCTCTTCATACATCCAAACATACATAGTAACACTATACTTCAAAATGCCTGAATCCTGGAATAGTTAACTGATTGTAAAGTTTCTATCRTTACCAAAAAGTATTGTCTACAATGTCTGAGATATTGGCATGTAAAATGCTACCCTGCTTGGCAGAGGTTTTCTTAGTAAAATGCAGTCAATCTATAGGTCACCTTYGGTGTATAAAATTGAAAATGAAATTWAAAAAATGAAAATKGGACCATAAAATSACAAAGAAATAAGGCCTAGGGCAAACGTCGAAYTTTCCATGCACCGAACTCATTAAAAACAATGGATATCAGGTGATAATGAGGCGGCATTCTTTGATGTAATTAAGTTCGGTGCATGGAAAGTTCGACGTTTGCCCTAGGCCTTAGTAGATTATAAATGCTGTGAATTTCATAATTATAACTTTATAAAATCCTTAATGGTTTTGCCATTGAAGTATTGAGCTACACTTAAATATAACTACAATCATTTGCAAAAATAATGTGCCACTTTCCCCCTTTCCCCCTAGCAATGTTGGTCAAGGAAGTTTTCTAAACTGTGAAGCAGTTGGCTGGTAAAATGCATGCGAGACAACATTCTACGGGGGGAGAGGGGGGATGGTCCTCCAGAATACTAGGTGGCATATTTTATTTTGCAGAAGATTGTAGCTAGCCAACTAGTAAAAAAAAAAAAAAAAGATTTGGTAGACACAAATAAGACAAGCCAAGTTAGTTTATTTATTTTTTCGTAAAAATAAATAGAAGTGTCTCCGGGGAAACTCTTGTAATCTAAAACCATGTACTCCCTAGTGCCGTACTTTTATTGTGATAACTCGGTACAAACAAAATATATTTCAATTTGCAATAAATAAACTACAAGTTTAAAACTTAGTAGTAAATCTATTTCGTATTGGACATAATTTGTTTATACAAAGATTTTTATGCTTCTTGAACAAAATCATGAAAAACTACGTTAACTTACCTTCAGACACACGAAGCCCATAAATCCCATCCAGATTAATGTCTTTGTATTTTTGATCGTAAAAATTATACGCTTTCCCAAGAGATATTAACAGTCCACGAAACAAATGCTCATCAACCGTTGGATTGTTGCACCGTGATTCACTCGTCCATAGAATCAAAATCAATATAGAAATACGCTGAACTGGACACCGCATTTCTGAAACACCAAAGGTATTTCCTCGAAATACAATTATTAGAGCTTCCTTTTTTCAGTGGGGGTTCATTCRATCACGCGAATGAGTCTGTTTTATAGAAGTAGTTGGTTGATCGCTTGAGGTTTTAACGTCAGAGCATTCTTTATGTTGCTTGTCGTTGTTCCGAGCGACCGCTTAGGTATCGAAAGAGATTAACCGATTGTTTTCAGTTCAATGAGTATTCATTGAAGTAGAATGAGAACAGCTGTTGACACAGAAGAGAAATCTGAAGGTAAAACTAGAAGAAAAACGATCATTTGGAGTTTGTCTTTTTTGATGTCCCAAAGACAGACAATGGAACTAAAACCACAGGCAACCCAAAACTGAATAAATATTTCTCGGTGTTCAAATTTACTTGYATTCATACTTCATTTTACAGTGAAATGTTTTTCTAAATTTTGTACTATTTTGGAAACCATCAAAAGTTTTACAAGATAACTATAAAAATTATCCATCTCTCTTTTAGGTTATTAAGCATTTTCCTTAAATTTCACTCATAATTTATATAATGTATTTATATAATTTATGTGATTGGTAAAAAAATATTTTTTCTGTGATCTTAATCATAAATGTTATAAATTTCTATTAAGAGCTAAAATATRCATTGCATAAGCTAGCTACCCTGAGTGGGGAGGGGAAGGGACTACGTACCTCTCCCCCCAGAGCCAGCAAGATAGATCAGTGCCAATAAAAAACTAATCTTATTAAGCTTTGTGCAGATAAATGCATTGTAGATTTATCAAAAATATAAAATGATAAAACAGTTAGGCTTCTCTTAGTTAGGGGGAAGTATTGGTATTTTGGACAGCATAATATACATCCTCCCCACTCCTAGGAAATTCCAATGTCCCTTCATGGGGGAGGTATGGATATTTTGGACAGCATAATATA